CTTGTCTCAAGGGTCCCTTGGCATTTTGCATTTGCTGTTAGGTGAAGACTTTGCTGCTACTGCATTTTTTTCTACAGAAGTTGCACTTGCCTCTTTTCCTTTTTTTTTTTTTTTTTTTGGTTTCTTTTTGTTTAGTCTCCCCCAAATTGTTTTGGATGATGTTGGGGTGTGATGGGTGTGTAAGAGGTTGTACATCCTAGATTGTCTTTGTTCTTTTTATGTTGCAACCATTTGTTGTTTTTCATAAGGATATGTTGCTACGGGTTTTTCCCGTTTACGTGTTATTCGTTATTTTTTATAAATTACTAGTTACCCAAAAAAATTAATTGTGTGTTGTGAACTTGTTTGTATCTGCAATTCTACACTAACAATTTGTTGTGTTTTTTTTTTTTTTTTTTAGTATATCATCCTAAGTATCCTTTTGTTTTTGATGATATTCTCTTTTCTGTTCTTTTAAATGTAGACTCAACCTAATATGGTATGAAAAAAAACATAAAATTTGGGAGCATGTTGAGGATCTCTAGGGGAATAAATGGAAACGTAAATTCTATCAAAAAGTATGTAGTGGTGGGGCTTATAGAATTAAAGCACACTTGTCGAGAATTACTGGCCATGATGTTGAGATTTGTAATAAAGTCAATCATGAGACACAAGCATATGCATTCTTAGGTATGTCTGGAAGTGGAAGTAATAAAAAATTAAAAAGTTCAGCTGGTTCTTCTACTGCTTTAAACTCTAATGATCATGAGGAGGAAACAAATTTACCATTTTCGCCGCTTTCTAAAGGTAGCTAAAGACGTCAAAGTCAAGCATCTTTACTAGAAATGAATAAGAAAAAAAATAAGGAGTTTGTTGATAAAATGTTTGCTAAGTGTTTTGTGGTGAACAATATCGCTTTTAATGTTGTTCAAACTGGTGCTTTTGGAGAATTGGTTAAGGCAGTGGCTGAATATGGTGTAGCATGCAAGCTTCCATCTTACTCAACTCTTCAAGCTATGTTAATTCCATAATCTAGAAAAGGTATTTTTAGTATGTTGCTATGGTGAAGCGTTCTTGCGATACATCTGGATCTGGTTGCACTATAATCTCTGATATATGGACAAATATAATGCACTGACCTTTCATTAATCTTGTGGCATATTCACATGGTAGTGCAATGTTTATAAAATCATTGGATGCTTCCCGAGAAAGAAAAACTAGGATTTATCTGAAAGAAATTGTTGTTTTTGTAATTGAATCAATTGGACAAGAACATGTTGTGCAATTCATAACTGATAGTAGTAGTAGCAATTTCACATCTATCTAGTGACATGCTCATTGGATAGTATCCTCGAATGTATAAGATGAGGTGTGCTGCTCATGGAATTCAACTTCTTCTGAAACACATATATGATGAAGTTAATTGGGAAAAAGTTGTCACAAATAAAGCAAGAATAATAGTTATGTTCATGACACGGTATATAGTTTTTCATGTAGCAATGAAAGAGTACACCAAAGATAGACAATTAAGACAACCTTGTGCCACAAGATTCACTTCAAACTTTTTAATACTTCAATCTGTGTTGAATTTAGAGACGTTCAGTTGTATTGTAGTAGGCCAGCTACCTTATTTACTACAACGGCAAAAACAATGTTACAAACAAGTCATCCTCATAAATTTTTTAAAAATTTGTACATCTTTTTTGTATATTGCTTCTCTCTTTGTATTCAAGAAAGCTTTTGATGTCATTTGCAGGAATATGGTGGGATTACAATGGGGATGATCTTCTTGTGCTCAAGAAGTATGTCATTCAAATTTTGAGTCAACTTTGTAGCGCTTCATCATGTGAGAGAAATTGGAATGCCTTTGAAGCTGCTAAAAAAAAAAAGGATAGGACCGCTTGTGTATGTGAGGAAGAACACGATGATGATGAATAAGTTTACTTTCACGATGAGTCGTGACTTGGAATCTATAGATCTTAAAAAATTGAGAGAGCCTCCAGACTATCAACATGAAGAAATTCATATGGACGAAGATGCTAATTCTACACCAACGATTGAGGGTTACATGATAACTTGATAGATAATGATGACATTTCTTGGTTGGATGATGCTCTTTTTTGAATTGTTATTGTTTGTTTATGTTACAGACTATAATTTGAATCTTAGTTATATTATTTATTTATTTTATTTGTTTGGAGCTCTAATTCGACTTTGAATTTTTGTTTTTTTTATGTGTTTGGTTTGAGACTATAATTGAATCTTGGTTATATATTGTGTTTGAGTCTAGGGACTATAATTTGAATCTTAGTTATATTATTTATTTATTTTATTTGTTTGGAGCTCTAATTCGACTTTGAATTTTTGTTTTTTTTATGTGTTTGGTTTGAGACTATAATTGAATCTTGGTTATATATTGTGTTTGAGTCTAGGGACTATAATTTGAATCTTAGTTATATATTATATATTGTTATATTATTAGGTCTAATAGTTATTTGGTTAATTAAATATTTTGCATTTGAAATATTATATTGATTTTAACTAGGTGAATCATGAAAAGTGATAAAACTAGGATTGATATTGTCGTATTTTTCAAAACGTATTATTGACAATGTATCGTATTAAGCTCATATATACTCGTACCATATTTTTCTCGTAAGTATACCATATTTTTCCCGTATCCAAATTTTATGATTGAATTTTTACAAACGTATTTTTTATGATTTGTTGTATCATATTTGTAAAATTTCCATACCATTTTTTTGCTGTATCCATATTTACTAAGTATTTACTAAGTAGACCCGTGGGTATCCGCATTAAAAAAAAAAAAAAAAAATTGCTTAGGGTTATGTTACAATAGCACTCACTTACATATTGCTAAAGACAAACTCCATTTATGTCATCTTCCATTAAACTCCACCTCTCTTTCTCTCTCTTTCTTCATCAATCCTCCTCCTGTACACAACCCAACTCTTCATACAATCCAACCAAACAAGTCTCCCTTTCTCTTTTTCTCTGATAATGGCCAAAAACACTCAGCAGAAAAATCAAAATATCCAAGAATGAACTCATAACACCACAACAACAGCACTAGTACAACAACTCCTACAAGCACAACAAGTGAGCTCTTCATTTGTTTTACTTCTCGCTTTTCCTCTTTTTCCTCCATGAAAATCACTTCTAAATCAATCTTGAGTCCCGGCCGTGCTACAGATTCTTCCCAAATCTCCCTCTCTACTTCTCTCAATCAGAGATTAAGAAATAGTGGTAGTACATATCAAAGGCGGTCAAGCTTCACCCATGTTCCCAGCTTCCAATGGCAAGAAATAGTGGTAGTACAAAAATGCCTACCTCATTGGAATTTTATGTCCATTACCTTATAAAATTGTAGTTACAATTTACATTTTATGGTTTGAATAACAAAATTTGTCAGGAAAAAAAAAAAAAGAGAGAGAGAAGTGAAAATATATGTGGGAAATGGGTGACCCGCAGGTCCAGCTGTCCCCGCTCGTGCAGGTACAGATGGTGCATTTCCGTACCTATTCAAAAATTTGTTCCATTTGACTCGTACCCACCCAGCCTGCCCGTTTGCCAAGTCTAGATACACATACCTAAAAACACACAAAATTAACTTAAGTTAATATTTCAAAATATAATAAATTAAAATGAAATATTATATAGAGTATGACCCATGAAATAAAATTAACAAAATCGAATGTCACACCACTAATTTAACCACTCATCTCGGAGGACTTTTGGGGCATTAAGTAGACATTTTAAGTCATGTCAACTCATTATTTTATAATTCAATAAATTTTCAACTAAACACCATTCAACTTCTACCCCATTAAGTGTATATTGACATCCCTTAAAATTTGGTTTGATTGCCCACATATTTCCTTAGATTTAAATTAAATACATACCTGGCTTAGACTTTTAAGATCAATAGAAACTTCTTTTAACCATTAAACAAAATCTATGGTATTACGATAGTGAAACATTCAACACTATTATAAACTAATACATATATGATTATCAATCACATTCAATATAAATAAAAATGAGGTAATTTCAAAAACCACGTTTTCGGAATGTATGATCGAAAATCCTAAGTAGGTGTATTTTAATTATTATACAAATATCGTTCTTACTTTTTAAATAATTCAAATCCAAACCTTGGAGTAATAACGTCTCATTTTTAACAATGTAAAATATTGGTATAACTATTACTGTTTATGAAAAATATTTTAGACTTAAAAAAAAAACACACTAAATTTGATTAATTATACAAAAATCTTAAAAGAGAGGTTAATGAAATATATTTTAAAAAAAAATTAAAAAAATTAAAAAAAAAAAAGGAAAGAAATCAAAGAAGTTTCTATGGGAGCAAGACCCAAGTGTATGCTTTTTTAAGCAGGACAATAGACGATTAATTAATTATTAAAACCTTTTGACTCGACTCTCGAGTTAATGTCAATTTGTTGAATATAAATTATATATTAATCATTCACCGAATGAATCACCGAAAATATAATATTAATTTAATACTCTTCATTCTAGAGAATATCAATTCAACTTAAATATCTGTTAATTTTATTAGAAGGAAAATACAACTTGGTTTCAATATTCATTAATTACACCCGGTGGCTTACATGTAGCGAAGAAGTCAATATATTTAAATAAATCTCAAATAATTTGTCAAAATTTATTGTAGACCAAATGTGGGTAAATTTATACACAATTTGTTCATAACCCAAAAAAAAACACATCCTCTATACTCTAAATAAACCACTTTTATATACTTTTTAAGGCCTTTGAATCTTCTTCACAATGCATTATTACTTTTTTGTACATTCAATTGATAGTCACAAGACATTATAATAATGTAGTAAGTATATCTCAAACCCCAAACTCACCCATTTTGGCTATAAGGCATATGAATGTGATTTTAATATGCAACAACATTTCAATCACCCATTAAATAGAAAAATAATTAATTAATATTTTTGAACTAATTTAAGTAACATTAATTCTAAAATCCATACACCCAGTACACCATTGAAACAAAATTAAAGAAACTATACTATATAAATTAAACCACCTAACAAAAGGCCGCCCCAAAAATATAAACAGACATCCATTACGTAAATTACTGGCCTACCCTCCCCAAAAATAAAAACATAATAAAAAAAAATAAAAATAAAAAAAAAAAAAAAAACATTTTCGTTATTACATCACTTTCCATGATTCTAGAGTTGGGAAGCTCGAGAGAGCATCAAAATCAAACCCAGAACTCCCACCGTCACCCATCACTGACGTCTGGAAGTTAAATGGGCCGGACCCAACACCCGGCCCACCTACAGGCCCAGAGCCCGAGCCCATCGCCACCTGCTGCTGATGATGATCCAGCAAAAAGGCCGACGTATCAAGTGTGGGTAAGCACCCACCGCCATGACCAATTCCAGGCAACCTTCCACCGAGTCTCTGCGGCTCCGGCTTCAGTATCGAAGGCACCGACCCTTGAGAGTTCCCGTACTTCGCGCCGGTCACCTGCTGCACCATCTGCCTGAAATTCGCCGGATCCGCCGTTATAAACGTGGTTTGAGTCCGTTTCGACGCGCGTGACTTCCGCTTCGAAATCTTCCCAGAATTGGGCCCGGAGACGCCGTTTCTTTGGCGTTTCGGAAGGGAAGTTTCCGGGTCAGAACCGGAAACGTTGGAAACAGTGGGAGTTTCAGGGTTGACAAAAGGGGAGATAAAATCTGAAGCAAAAGCTTCAGATACAGAGTTGTTGTTATTGTTGTTAAAGTTAGTAGTAGAAGTAGAGAAGGTCTTTTGGAGGGCTTTGGTTAAAGTTTCCGTCTCGTGAGCGGAGACTTCGGAGAACCAAGGATCACGAAAGGCCCAGGAAGCGGTGAGAGCGGGCAAGTTTTCGGAAGAAGTCATGGTTTTGAAAAATAGGATGAGAAACTAAGGAGAAAACAAATGGACCAATATGAGTTGAATCAAAGCATGATATGATAAGAAATTATAAGATAATGTTAAATTAAGCGCACAGTGGAGATGATGTATGAACCATGAAGAACCGAAGAAGATTTAGGAAGGGAAATGTATGGCTGGTTTGGTTGATTGAGTGGGAAATGGGAGAAAGGGAGGGTGTATGACAAGGAATTAAATAGGACGGTGAGATGAAGAAACCGCGTTGTATGGACGGACACGCGTCACCTGATTTGTACGGAATTTTAGCTCTTTTTTAACCATGGTTTACTCTAGTTTTTTTTTTTTTTTTGTTTGGTTTGGTTTAGGTGTGAATATCTTTTAGGACCTTAAGCTTTGTTTTATTAGAAAAGCTTCCCTGTGATTTAGTAAATGTTGTAAACCATGACAAACCTCTCTATGGATTAATGTTAATAAGTAGGGATTTAGATAAGATTAAATCGGAAGATAAATGATTTTAATAACTCCTCACTAGTTTAATTTTCTATACCAGGCTTATTTTTAATAAAGAACTGTCCAATTGAATATATAAATGTATAAAATAAAAAAAACCTGTATTTGATGCAAAGCAACTTTGAATTCATAACAATAAATTAATAGTGAAAATCTGCTTAAGTATTCAAGTTTGAAATCAAATTTTATTGATATAATTCTTACTATAACCCTTGGTTTTAGTAAAGGTAAGGGTTTATTTGATAAAATTTTAAAAGTTGCGCCGGTAAAATAATTTTAAACATCTAGGGGTTTAAAATGCTGCAAACTAAAAGTCTGATAAAGAATTGAGGGTGTTTAATGATATTTATGTTTGAATATAGTATAGAGTAAATTTGACAGTTGTTCTACTACTAGTAGCGAGTAAGAAGTGTGAGAAGAGAGAGTGAGTTTGGCGGTCAAGGCGTGTCATATGGAGTCCTTGTTACGCGTATTAACTCGTGCTCTTCTGACATCCTCTTTATGCTTTTTATCTTTTTTTTTTAATTTTATAATCGAGCCGTTACCGTCAATTATTGAGGGCCTTCTGATTCAGTCCAGTATATTTAAATTCTAAATCTTGCATGGAATAATTTCAATTATTATTTTGACTACCATTAGTCCATTACTATCATTCTCTCTCTCTTCCTCTGCTCAACCTTAGAAGAATTTATTTATTTATTAACATGATAACAATATTTATTTTTATTCAAATATTGATCTTTTAATGATATTATATTTTTCAATAACTATTATTTGATAGAATCTTGAATAGTATAAGGTAGCCTTTAATTTGTTTTTTGAAAAAGAATAAACATCCAAAACTGCGAAGTGGTAGATAGTAATTAAAAGAGTAAATCACTTTTTCCCACTCAAGGTTTGCCTTAATGACATTTTTCTATCCAAAAAATTTTAAATACCACTTTTCCACCCAAAGTTTATATTCTGACCAATCGTCAATCGATTCCAACATTTTTGCGACTCCAAACCACCACCATTCTCTTTCTCAATCATCATTCACTAAAACCACTCAAACCTTGTTCTTGCCTACCCTTCTTATCGTCGACAATCGAGTGATTTGTGAAACATACAACCGCCTCTCCCAAGTTAGATTCTGACCAATCTCGACCATCAAAATCTAACCTATCACCATCAAAAGATTCACCGGAATCCTCCCTTCAAAAGCCCTAATAGTTTAGACCGAGTTTCCTCTGTGTTAACTACCAAATCGAAAAATCTATTCTAGGTAATAAAGAAATATGAACTTTGGGTGGTAAAATGATATTTAAAACTTTTTGGGTGGGAAAATGTTATTAAGGCAAACCTTGGGTGAAAAAAAGTCGTTTACTCTAATTAAAACTAAGAATAGTCTAAGATATGAAATGAAAGGGGCCCATGGCCATGGCCATGGGGATTGGGGATGCCTAGAGAGGTGAGGTTAGGTAACCTTGGAGTTGATGTGTCCCCTATTTATCAATCATCCCTCCCGCCATTTTGAGAATGGTAGTTGGCCTCCCATTTACATGTCATCTTTTCAACATAATTCAATTTTTTTTTTTTTTTTTTAATTAGTCTTCCCTACTTTGAGATATTTTTTGAGACGTCTTCTTAATAAACATTTAGGGAAATTTTCCAACCAAGGGATTTCGCTATCTCTTGTAATATTTTATACATGCAAAAGTCAAAATAAGACATGCAAAAGCAAAACACATATTTGATGTAGGTTAAAATTTTATTTTGTTAGAGAGTGTTTAGATGAATAATATTGTATTATTAGGAATGTTATATTAATAGGAATATAGAGTATTTTAAAGATTATTAGGAATATTACATTAAATATGTTTGATTAGGTTATAATAAATTAATGTGTATATTATATTTATATGTTTGGTTTTGAGGAATAAATGAATTATAGAAGAAGCATTTTTACTTAATTGTCCTTCATTTTTAATATTATTATTATTATTTAGATTATTTATTTAAGCCCTTATATTTGAGAATTAAGCTAAAACACTTTAGCCATAATAAAAGTTTAAAAATTAGCCAAAACACTCTAAGCACCCAAGACGACTGCTGGCCACCGACCACCACAACCATCTACGATTGACAGTCGTCGAAATGATGCACAACCGACTGGATATAGCCCGTTGTGCATTAATGTATCCAACTTCTACCAGCTTAGAGTGCACCGTTCTGACAAAGGTGGTCTTTGGTAATTTGTTGGAAGTACAAAAGTAATAATGGCGTAAAAATTTTTTTTATAAATATAAAATAGTTCATAAATATCCTTCTAAATTGTTTTCACAACAAAGACATTATTATCCAAAAAAAATTATTAATTAGAGGTAAAATTATAACAAAATTAAGATTACCAAATAGTCTTAGAGTACCGAAGAAAATGGTGGTATTTAGATTACCAATTATATAACATTCAGTAATTACTTTTGGTATTGAAATATTACCGAAATCTTTTATCACTTGATAACTAAACATGGTAATGTCAATAATATAATATAGTATTACAAGAGTAAGGAAGGAGTATCCCAACTAAACACACTTTTAATAACCATTCCTTAATTGAGTTTATCTTTATTAATTAAATTTTCCTTATTTGATTATAATTGATTTTTCATATGGAATTATTAAATATTAATAATTAATATAAATAAGGGAACGGTGGTATTATTAGTTTATTACTAATGTTTTGGTTTTGTTAGCGGATAAACTTTATGATGGAATTTACTTGACTCTATCAAAATTCAAAAATACTCTGAACCAGCGTCGCAAAGTGGGAAGCATTCTAGAAGGAAAAAGAAATTTGAAAAAATTCAAAAAGGAAAAAGCCAAAAAAAAAAGGCGCCAGCGGTGACGTGAGAAGATGGCGTGGCATGACGAAACGATGACGTGCAGGTAAAACTTTTAAAAATAATTATAAACTAGAGATAAAGATAGAGATTGGGTTTTGAGTAGACACTTGGATGCTTACACCGAGATACTCGCACCCTTGTTTCCTCAAGTTTACTCTCCTCACTCCGTTGTCACGCCGTTTAGTTAAATTGAAAACATTACGTCTAATATTGTCAATTTGTATATATTTATATTAAAATTAGTATGTAAAATAGTATATTATTATTTGATGAACGTATGAATAATATCCTTAGTCTATCCCATCGCCGTTGTCCTTATTTATTTATTAATCATCTATCTATACTCTAAAGAACGATTTTTAACAAAATCTGTGTAACTTTATTTCTTGTGTTTGGATTCAATATAATTACTGTCAAACATTTCTGTATTCATAATATTTGAATCAACCTAATTTATTATTACGAGGAGGTCATAACTTAATAGAGATGTAATTACAAAATTATTTTTTTATTCAAAAAAATTATTTTATAATTCATATTTTAATAGTATTAAAATTTCCATTCATGTTTTAGTAGTATTAAGATTTCAATTCATTGTTTTAACAACATTATGATAGTATGAAAATAGATATCGAAGAGTTATTATAGAATTAAGTGATCAGATTCAACAATTTTACTACACTAATCAAATGGATATTAATGTGTTCCTCAATCATCCAAATGAGTAATAAGTCATGTATACTTTAACTAAATAAAAAAGACATTACTAGAATTAGACAAGAAGAGGAATGAGATAATCTTGAGGATGATAGTACGAAAATACAAAAAGTTTTGTATCAAGAGAGAAGTTACAAATATTTTGGTTTCAATAAGGTGTCTATGTTAGCGACTTATTATGAACCTGCAAGATAAAAGATATAGTAACAACTCTATAATATGAATCATTGTCAAACAACTTTAGATAAATATTTTATTTTATCTTAAACATTTAATGTAAAATAACATATATTTTTGTAATATATATATAATTATTACTATGTAGAGGCAAGTTCTTTAAGACGGAACCTAAAAAAATTATAACTTATTACAATATGAAATTTATTCTTATTTATAACTGGCCTAAGTTAGGACCAACATTTTTTATGACTACATGGAGGTTATTCCTATATAGAGTATCACTATAGAGATGTTCAACTGTATAAGTGAATACTATTACTGAATTCACATAATGTAAGGAAACTTTTTCATAATTAAAAATGTGAGTATTTTTTTTTTTTTAAAATAACAAAACTTATTAGTATTTAGTAATTTTTTTTATATTCGAACCAATTTACGTACACCTCGATTAATCCCCTGGAGCCCAAAATTTGTGTAACTTTATTTCTCTTGTTTAGATTCAATATAATTATAAGTGAATATACATAATGTAAGGGAACTTTTTCATAATTTAAAATGTGAGGATTTTTTTTTTTAAATAACTAAAATTATTAGAATTTACTTTTTTTTTTTCATGATCGAGGTATTCGGACTAGTTTGCTTGTGTCTCGACTGACTCCTGAAATATTCAGACTAGCTGCCACCTAATAAGAATTTATAAGTCATTAAAACTTTCACTATAATTTATTTTTCAATAGTTTATTAATAATTACAAATAAAAATGTATATGTTTCGTGTACAAGATTTTGTAATCATATCACTATTTATATTTAAGTTTTCACCGTTTTTTTAATAAAAATAATATTAGATATACAAACTTTTCGTAAAAACTCTTTCATATAAATAAATGTGAGGTCAAGTGAACGGATGAATTTGTACAAAACCAGGTCCA